TGCTATCAAGTGAAGACAATTGGCCCCAACTCTCAGTGCTGCAGGGAGCATTGGCTGAGATGGGGCCTGCAGTACTCAGCTAGGGGCGGGTGTGGGGTGGGTGGCTGCTCTCCTTAGCATGCTGTGCTCCTGAATTCCACCAAGAGTTCTCCCATATGTGGTGTAGTGGCTGCCACAAAGTGACGATAGGAGGATTAAAAGGGAAAGAAAACATAATGAATAGATGTGATTTTATTTGGGAACCTTGTTACAATCTTGTAACAAGGATTGTACGGAGGAAGTCACGGTGGCCTCAGTGGGGGAGACAAGGGTGACTGCTTCTAGGAGTCAGGAATAGGAACTAGAAGAGCCAACATATGGACTGAGCCTGGAAAGCAAGGCGTCATCCATCCTAGTAGGGAGAAGGGCACTTCAGCCCGGGAGAGCATCTAGTGCTCTGCTTCTCAATTCTGACCACGCATTGGGATCACCTGGAGCTCTTTTAAAACTCCAGTACCCAGGTGGCACCGTAGGCCAATAATGTCTGAATCTTAGGGGGTGCTATGGACTGAATGTGTCCCTCCAAAATTCATATGATTCAAACCCTAATGTAATGGTATTAGGAGGTGGAACCTTTGGGGGTGATTAGGTTTAGATGAGGTTGGAGCCCCCATAATGGGATTAATGCCTTTATATAAAGAGACAGCAGATGTATGGACACACAGAACCCAACCATGCTGGCTCTCTGATCTCAGGCTTCCAGACCCCACAATAGTGAGAAATAAATATTTGTTGTTTTAGCTACTCAGTCTATGGCAATTTGTTGCTGAGCTAACAGGGAGAACAACCACAGGAATTGTTTGGAGGTGTCTGCACAGGTGTCAATGTGCAGACAAGGCTGAGAACCACAGAGCAAAGGCTTGAAAGAACAAATTTACATTTCTGCCCAGGGACATGGAGCAAATGGCTCAAGATGCTTGGAAATGAGCGGCATAAATCAGAAATATGGGGCAGGAAATCAGGGCCACGGAAGAATTCTGACTAGCAAATGAAATGAGCAAATACTTGTGGTCTTTAATTTGCATAATGACATCCCTGACAACCACCAAGTTTGCATTTGAACCCAACTTGCTGTGGCCTCAAGAAGGGAGTGGCTGGGAAGTTCATACCACCTGATTCATCTTAGGATACTCTGAGCCTAGAAAACAGCACTCAGGAATGCTTGTTGAATGGATCAAATAGCCCTGTAGTCCAAAAATGTGCTCCCACTTGAGTGGCCAGTCTTTACTGCACGTGGGTTTAAGGGGCTTTGTGATGTCTCTCATTTAGGCTAATGTGGTTTGAAGGATGTCAAGAAACTCCATAAAGACCCCTGTGGCTGTGGCTGCTGCCTGAAATTCCACTAATGGAGCTTCATGTGTTTTGCTGATTTTTGTTCACACCATGTAAACCGCATTGCCAGAAGTAGGTTTTTAAAGGTTGAAGGGGCAGAAAGCCTAATGTTTATGGGGAAGTTGGGGGAAGATTCAGAGAGACCTGAGAGCCCTCTGAGAGATAGCCCTGGGCACTGGTCAGAACCTAGCATGGAATAAAGAAGCTGTAAAAGACAGTCGCTTCTTTTCTTTTTCAAACTGGAACCTCCTGGGCTTTTCCTTGGTTCTTGCAATTTTTATGCTACACCCTATAGGAAAGTTCTCTATTTTCCCAAGGACTAATTCTGCTAATCATAGGATAGAGACGGATTTTTCAAAGAAGAAGGATGTAATCATAAAACATTTCTAATAACCAACACGGTAAAAGATTGTGATATTCCACGCATGTGTCGATCAGTTTGCCCCTGACTTGTTTACATCCTCTTCCAGGCTGAAGCTCCTAAAAGGGACTCTGAGAGAAGGTGTGAATGCAAGTGGGTTCTTTAGGAGGTAATCTCAAAAAGCCTCAGTGGAGTAGTGGAGAAGTGAACCAGGGAGATGAAGGAGGCCAATAGAGGGTGTGCTAATGAGCAACTGAGGTTTGAGTCCACTGGGGTATTTGGGGACATAGTATTAAACGTGTCCCAGAGTTATTCCACAGGACGGGCAAGGGATCTGGACACCTTATAGCCACCAGTTCCCGCCAGTCATTGGTTAGTGGTTGTTCCCAGTAGCATTAACTCCTTGGCACTTCTAAGCTGGCGGTGCACTTACTCTTGGCCAGAGATAGTCCTCAGGCAAAGGTAGTTGGAGTCCTGTGGGGTAAGACACCTACAGCATCTGCTACACAGACCAGCCCATTCACATGCCAACCTATCTGTGAACAGCTCAGGAATGTGTTCACCCGACCACTGTCAGCCTTTTCATTCCATTCATTTAGACACCAGCACTTTCATGTGCTAACTTATTCACAAGGCATCATCCTTGTGCCAACTAATGAGAAAAGTGGTCTATGTAGAACCTGGCAACTGAAAAATATCCCAGGCTCCAGTGAACATAGGTGGCAATTCTACTTAGTGGTATCAGTGTATTTGAAGTAATTTTCTCCATTAGTATGTTTTTATTTCTTGTTTTTTTATTTTAGTGTCTTTATTATAGGTTTTTGCTTTGAGGTAACCAAGAGACTTACCAAGACCATCTTATACTTATAACAAGTTTGATAACTTAACTTTGATCACAAAGAAAAGAACAAAAGACTAAAACACTGTACACTTTAATTTCATTTTTCCACATTTTGACTTTTTACTGTTTCAATTTATATCTTTTATGTTACCTCTGAACAAGTTGTTATAATTCCATTATTTTTGTTACATTTGCCTTTTCATACTAGAGATATGAATGGTTTACATGCCACTATTCCAGTAGTATTATAAATTTGTCTAGAGTATTTCTAAATTTGTTATTTACTTTACCAGTGAGTTTTATACTTTCAGATGATTTTCTAGTTGCAAATTATTTTAAGTTTGTGAACTTCCCTTAGTGTTTCTTTTAAGACAGGTCTAGTGGTGATGAATTTTCTCAGCTTTTGCTTGTTTGGGAAAGTTTTAATCTCTTCTTCCTGTTCTGAGGCTAGCATTGTGGGGTCAAGTATTCTCAGTTGGCAGTTTTTCCTTTCAACACTTTGACTGTCTCTTCCTATCCCCTCCTGCCCTGCGTGGTCTCTGCTGAGAAGTGTGCTGCCAGACAAATCAGAGTTCCTTTGTATGATATTTGCTTCTTTTCCCATGCTGCTTTTAGACTCTGTTTTTGACCTTTTAGAGTTTGATTATTATATGCCTTTGGGTAGTCTTATCTAGGTTGGATCTATTAGGTGATCTTTGACGTTTCTATACCTGGATTTCAGTTAGTATGTCTTTAAGATTTCTGCTTTCTCTTTTTCAATTCCCTCTTGAAAGCCAGTGACTCTTAGATTTATTCTTTGGGGTTATTTTCTAATTTTGTAAATATTGCCCATTCTACTTTCTTTTTCCATCTCTGATCATGTATTTTTAAATAATTACTCTTTGATCTCATTAATTCTTTCTCCTGCTTGATCAATTCTGTTCTTGAAACCCTCTGATGTATTTTTTCAGTTCAGCCAATATATTTCTCAGTTTCAGAATGTATGTTTCATTTATTCTAATTATTTCAGTCTTTTAAAAAAATTCTGATAAATGTATGACTTATTTTTCTTTGTGATTGTTGAGTTTGCTGAGTTTCCTTAAGATAACTATTTTAAACTATTGATCTGAGAGCTCACATATTGCTATCTTATCAGGCTTGGTCCCTGGTTCCTTACTTTGTCCATTTGGGGAGGTCATAGTTCTGTTTGCTATTTCTTAATGGATATACATCTATGTCTTTGCATTGAAATATTAGTTATGTGCTCTAGTCTTTGCTGTCTGGGTTGGTTTATTCTCTGTAGTGCATATGTGTTCAGAGGTCCTGTGGAATTTGCCCAGTTATTTTTTTATCCTTAGATTGCTATCTCATTTTTGGCACTAAGTAGTGCCTTAAGCCCAGGTTTGCTGCAACTTTCACAAAAGTTCAAAGGGCTACCTGTCCTGGATGGGGGGGAGGTGTCTCCAAAGGGGATTCCTTAGCTGTGTGGAGAGGTGGCTAAGGGCTCATGCCCCGAGGATTTGTGGATACCACCTCTTACAATGTGATGCTGCCAAACTCTCTCTCTGATTTAACATCTTCCTTATCTGAGATGGGAGAGCTGCCCCTGGGTTCCACACACTGAGGCTACTGGCTCCATCTCTACCACCTGCCTCCAGCTGCTTTCAGGGGTCCCTCTCCCTATAGCTGATCTCACTTTTTCCAGTGTAGAAACCAAGAGTTTGGGAGACTTTTCCATGTGGTGCCTTGCAACTTGAGAGAGGGGCATCTTGGATAGGGAAATTCATTTCTCTTAACGGTTTTGCACATTTCTGTGGCTCTGGGATTGCCACAGCCTCATTTTTGTGTTCTGGAATATTAGCGGTTATAATTCTATCATTAGATAGTTGGTTTGGGTTATGCTGTGGAAAGTGAAGCTAGATTACTTCTACTTCACCATTTTGGTGATGTCTGGTTTCAGTTTATTTTATATTGGCTGGGATGAGGCTGGTCTTACTTGCATTCATGCAGTCACTCAAAAACAAAGAGGTTGCTTAAGCTAGTGATTTTTCATCAGAGATAACAGGGAGCATCCCAGGAAGATTTTAATTTAGATGAAAGTACAAATTCCAAGAATAAAGAGGTTTTTTTCCCTTGTATCACAAGAAAACCAGTGACATCCATAAGGTTTGTTTCATCTACATGAGGTGGTGCTTTTAAAAAATGAGGACAGAGAAATGAATTAGATTGCGGAGAATGGCGATAGCTTTTTCCCTCATGTCTGATACAAAAGGCATTGGGCAGATTTCTGTGGGGCCTCAAGACTGAACTCAGCTCTACTGAAGAATTTGTCTCCAAACTTCAAGGTCTCAGATGACAATGCCACTGTGGGTCTAACCACACTGCCCTAAAAGACAAGGCAAGAAAACCACTCTGCCGGTGTCTGATTCTTGAGAGATGATAGAGCCTTCACTTTTTAATGAGGTGGTAAAACTTCCCTTTTGCAAAGAATAGCAAGAGATTTTTGTAGATGTGAATCAGCCTGTTTTGTACCAACTTAAAAGCAATAAACACAATCTCCATGCCAACGATGATGTAAATGGAGAAGAAGAGGAAGAAGTTAGGGTGCTCTAGAACAGTATCCCCAAACCCAATGGTGGTCAGTGTGACGAAGCAGAAATAGAAGGCACTCTCAAAGTCCAGGTGTTTCTCCCAGAAGGGGAGGACGGCAGCTGCACAGGAAATGTAGGCAAAAACGACAAGGACAATGATGGGGAGAGGAACATCCAGCTTCTCCACCTGCTGCCCAACCTCATCCAAGTTGCTGATGATGGAGTATGAGAGTTTCCCCGACACCAGTTCGGGACACGAGGTGCTCCTCTCCATGGCCTGCGTGGGCAGTTGCAGTTTGTTATGTTTCTCTTGTGCAAGAAATCTCTCGAACAGTTCCAGGTTGTGGCTTGGGGCTGAAGGACACTTGCTGGGTGCTGGGCCTGGGAGCTCTTCAGCAGTGACGGTGATCTGAGGGATGGCTTCATCTGCAGGCCTGGTGGCAGGCTTCCTCCTGCAGAACAGCTGGGAGCACCACTTGGAGAGGTGATGGGTAAAGAAGGAGAGTTTTCGGAATCGATTGTAAGATGTGGATAAGATGGTTGCCAGGATGTCACCTGTGTCTGTGAGGACCAAGAACATCAGGGGAATACCAAAGAGAGCGTAGAGCATGCATACGTACTTGCCGAGCCTGGTGACGGGGTAGATGTGGCCGTAACCTGAAAGAGAAGCATCTAGGGTCGTTATCTGTCACTCTCTCTCTACCTCACAAGAAACTTTAAAGAAATATTATGCCATTTCCCCTCATTAGCTTGACTTTTTACACATGTTTGAAAATAATCATCTCATAGCATCCATCCACTTGTCTGGCGTTAGGCCTGCTTTGGCGGGAGGGGCAGGGAGTGAAGTCCATATTCCCTTTAGGATAGGGAGCAACTCACACCCAGATTTTTGACCTGAAATGTCCTTGGCAGGGGACAAGCACAGGTTTGGGGGTGAGGTGATTGCCTTGCATTCTGCTGCAGCCATTTCTGAGTGTCCCCAAGAGGATGGGCTCAGCTCATCCTGGAAGGACAGGATAAGCACAGGTGAGCAGGGCTGGACAGGTTTGCCATCATACCCACTGCCTTCTTCATCCTCCATGGAAATACTGGCTTTTAAGAAGCCACCTTTGTTCTCCGTGGGATATCTGGGCCTCTTAAGAGGCACTTACTATGTGCCAGTGGTGCACATGACATCACAGATAGTTTTAAGGACAGTAGAAGGATGAAAGATGAATATAACTGCTGCCCTCAGAGCCATTTGTGAGTTAATAGATTGAACAAACATGTTCATAGATGACAGTGAAACCATTAGTAGCTGGGATCTGACCGACCTGTGTGAATCCCAACTCTGCCATTTACGAGAATGTTACTTGACTGCTCACATGTTTTTCAGGATTCTTATCTGTAAAATAGGGATGACAATCCCTACTTTATATATTGACTAGTTGGGAGGATTACATGAGGCGTGGGCACAGGAGCTATTAATAAATGTTGGCACCCTCACCCTTGAGAGCTAATAAAATAACTGCCTATCGAGCACTTCTGTGGGCTGTGTGTCACTCAAGCTCCATACACAGGTATTTTTATTTCCTTTCACAGATGGGGAAACTGAGGTACAGAAAAATGAAGTCCCTTGGCCAAGAGCATATATGTGCTCAATAGTGGAGTTGGGAGTCAAACCCACAGGGCTCTCTGGCTCCCAACCAGTGCTCTCAACCAGGGAGAACCAGAAGACAAGCAAAGGGAGGGGTGGAGTGAGGCCTCTGCACTCTTCAGGAGCCGCTCCCTCTGCTCCCCTTCCGTGGCCCTCCCCTCTCATCTACAGAGGGGAGGAGCCGCTCCCTCTGCTCCCCTTCCGTGGCCCTCCCCTCTCATCTACAGAGGGGCAGGAGCGGAGAGACAGCCAATACCACAGCACAGGTGGTTGGCACTTCTGAAGCAGGCAAGTTTCATTGACTTTTTAAAAAATTTTTATTAAATCATAGCTGTGTACATTAATGCAGTCATAGGGTACAGTATGCTGGTTTCATCAAACTGGTTAGCATAGCCTTCATGGCATTTTATTAGCTATTGTGTTAAGACATTTGTATTCTACATTTAGAAAGATTCACATGTACCCTTGTAAGATGAACCATAGGTGTGGTCCCACCAATCACCATCCCTCCACCTACCCTCCACCCTCCCCTCCCTCTCCCCTTTCCCCATATTCTTGGGCCATAATTGGGTTAGAGTTTTCATATTCACTGACTTTAATACACAGATGAAAAAGCTTTTGGATTAATTCCCATGTTTAATTTTTTTTTTTTTTTTTGAAACAGAGTCTAACTTTGCTACCCTCAGTACAGTGCTATGGCATTATAGCTCACAGCAACCTCAAACTCTTGGGCATAGGTGATTCTCTTGTCTGAGCCTCTCAAGTAGCTGAGACTACAGGTGCCCACCACAATGCCTGGCTATTTTTTTTATAAACAGGGTCTTGCTCTGGCTCAGGCTGGTCTTGAGCTCGTGAACTCTAGCTTGTGAGCTTAGGTAACCGGCCTGCCTTGGCCTCCCAGAGTGCTGGAATTACATGCATGAGCCACCATGTCCTCTGGGGACACGCAGGCTTTTAGGTGTCCCCAGAGGACACCCCCACCAGGATCCCAAGGGCAGGACAGGGAGATGTGGCCCTCAAAGGGTCTCCTCTGTCTGCAATCGTCCCAGTGCACTCAGTGCCACTCTGGCTGTTTCCACTAGGCACCATTTGATGACATGGTCGGTTACCTGTGTATGTGCACTAATTCATTCAATGAACATTTATTGAGTGCTTACTGCATACACTGGGGACACAGTAGTGAGCAAAGTAGACAAGGGATCCAACCTGGCTGAGCCTCTGGTTTAGTGGGTGATTCAGATATTAATCAAAAAACCACACGATTGAGTATCTAATTACAAACAGAGACCAATAGCAGGGAGAGAGCAGACTGTTCTATGAATGATTACAACAAAGGCACACATCCTGGCCTCAGGAAAGACTTTCTGGTAAGGTAACTCTTAAGCTAAGTTTAGGAAGGGGACTAAAAATTAGCCAGGAGAGAGCAAAAGCAGCATGTGCAAAGGCCCCCTGGCAGGTTCAAGAAAAGGCAGTTCACAGGGTGGGCAACCCCTACATGGAGTGTACAGGGCAGGGCCCAGGGGCTGAAATCTAGCCTGTGGTGCCTTTCCCAAGCCATCAGCAGGGCTATGTCTACCTAGAGGGAATGTGATTTTTATAGTTTTTTACCCATATGTCACCTAGTTGTCACCCTAGTTTAAGAAAGTGAGAGGAGGACAGTGTGACCAGTGCACAGGGAGGCAGCAAGGTGAGGCCGTGGAGGGGGATGGGGTCTGAGGGCTCACCTGACAGATAGGGAGGTGCCTGGATCAGTTTGGCAGCCTGAAAAATGCTCCCCTAGAAAGATAGCAAGTCCTAATTCCTGGAATCCATAAACATTACCTTATTTGGAAAAGGAGCCTTTGCAGATGGGATGAAGGACTTGGAAATGTGGAGATGATCTCGGATTTTCTGTGTGAGCCCTAAATGCTGCATGAATGTCCCTATGAAGGAGGGGCAGAATAGGATTTTTTTTTTCTGAGACAGAGTCTCACTATAGTGCCCCCAGCAGAGTACCACAGCTCACAGCAACTTCAAGCTCCTCAGCTTAAGCGATTCTCTTGCCTCAGCCTCCCAAGTAGCTGGAACTACAGGAGCCCGCCACAACACTAGGCTATTTTTTTGTTGCAGTTGTCATTGTCGTTTAGCTGGCCCGAGCTGGGTTTGAACCTGCCAGCCTCAGTGTATATGGCTGGTGCTGTAACCACCATGCTATAGTGCCAAGCCAGAGGCAGGATAGGATTTTACACATAAGAGAGGAGGCGGCGGCAACGTGACCTGTAGCCACAGATCTTGGAAAGCTGGCCACTGCAGGTACTGGGAGGGACTGAGAAGTCTTCCCTACTAGAGCCTCCAGAAGGAGTGCAATTCTGGAATGTCTTGCTGTTCTGGCCTCCAGAACTTGACAGAGTATGTTTCTATTGCCTTGAGCAGGCAAGTTTGTGGGAATTTGGTAGAACAGGCACTGGAAACGAATAGAAGCCACTGTGGTACCTGCCCAGGTGAGAAATGATGGGAGCTTTGGGCAAGGTGGGAGCTGAGAGAAGGAGAGAAGCACAGATTCAGACTAGACATCTATTTCTGAACTTGGGGTGTCACAGAAAAGCTCTTGGAGAGCACAGAACAGGCTCTTCTGAATCCACTGCTCTCCATGGCACAGGTGGGTATGGTGGGTTATAAACAAAGAAGGGCCTTTGTGGTTGGCTGTGGGTGAAGTAGGTTTACAACGCAAGAGATGTGCCACATTCTAGAAAATCTGTCAAGGAAGTGAGTCTCCAAGAGCACACAGCCTCTGCAAAAGAAATGTATTAACTGTCCTCATTACTGAAAGCCGAAATGCATAATGGAACTCATATCAGGTCTAATAATGTATTCACATCTTCTGATACAATCAGCTCACTGCACTTAGCCTGTGACTATTTAATAGTCCTTGCACTCTCCTCTTTCATCCAAAGGGCTGACCCAGTTGAGAATGACTGAGGATCAGCTGGCCTCACACCTGTCTGATATCCCAGGCTTAGCATCAAGGCCAGGTGCACTTCAAGTGACCCAGAGCTGCAGGGCAGGAAGTTGTTTTACCAGAGGGACTTTCAAATACGTTATTGATTATGGGGAGTCTAGAACATTCCCCACATCCTTTTCCCATTGTAATTACTAGGCAGCATGATGTCCTAATTGACTCGTATGATGGGCAGTAGCATCACTTTCTTGGAATTTAAACCAAGCTAATGCATTTCCATTAGATTAGTGATTCTCAGTTTGGACTCCCATTAGAATCACCTGGAGGGCTCTGAGAAATGCTGGTGTCTGGGCTCCATCTCTAGAGATTCTGACTTGATTGCTGGGCTTGGGGTGGAGCCTGGGCTAGGAGTCATCCAGGTGACTCTGATGTGTGGCCAGTGCTGAGGACCATGCATTGGGTTAGGGCCTCCCAAACATTAATAGGTATCAGACTCACATGAGAACCTTTTAAAACCCAAATTACTGGGCCCCACAGCTATGGTTTCTGGCTCAGCAGGTCTAGGATGGGGCCCGAGAATTAGTTTGTATTTCTGACAAATTCCCCAGTGATGCTGATGCTACTGCTTTGGGACCACACTTTAACAACCATGGCAATCAATCAGTTGTTGTCAAAAGGGGACAATGTTGCTCCCCAGGGTGATTTGGCAATGTTTACAGATGTTTCTGGCTGCCACAATGAGGGCAGTGGGGTAAATGCTATTGCATCTAGTGTATAGAAGCTGGAGATACACTCCACTTCACACAATGCGCAGGGCAGCCCCTGCTGTCCCCCCTCAAATTAGCTAGCCCACGAGGCCAATAGTAGCAAATTCAGGAAAAGAAAAAAGACAAAGTAAACCCTAAACCCTCAGCTTCTTGCACATGTCCAGGGTCTTCCTTGCAGTAGCTGCTGTCCTGGGACCGTTCCCTGAGCTGTGGGTTCCCCCTGGTACCAGCCTCAGGGCCTGACCTCAGCCCTTCCTCCGACTCGCCCACAGTGAGCCTGTCTCAGAGCCTGAGCTTGCTGAAGGGACCATTGCAGCACCTGCCCTGTGGGGTTGTGGTGAGAATAAATGCAATTCAGCATTTTTTTTTTTTTTTGAGATGGAGCCTCAAGCTATCCCCCTGGGTAGAGTGCC